GTCTGATCGCTATTGTGGGGTTTACTGTGAATGAAGGTGGAAAGAAGAAATCTTCCCCATCTGCTTAATAGATGCTAGTTAAGAAAAAACTGAAGACTTCCTCCGCTGCTCGTGAGGGTCTACCTGCTGTCGAGAGGCATATGATTGACATGAATTCTTCCAACGGGAAGAAAAATAAGGCTGCTAGATTTGACCCTATGGTGCCTGCTATGTCGAGAATGGCTAATTCGATTACTGATAGTATTGCTCAGTGTAAAGGTTTTGTCATGCCGCCAATGCTAAAGTCTGTGCCAAGACGTCCGTTGGGAGCTAAGTCTGGCTTTCATTCGGAAAAGCTTGCTATTATGAAGAGCGATAAGGTGGACTCTGCTGCTAAAGTGGCGCTAAGGCCTACTCCTTCTACTGCTGAGACTGATTCGCCTGTTGGGAAGAAGGAGATTGCTCGTGTGGGCAGTTGTGAGAAATCCACTAAGACTGCTTCTGGGGAAGTTGCTGAGATCTGTGTACTTTTGAAACCAGATTTGCTTGAAGACATTGATGCTTGTGCCAAGTTTGTTGATGGCGTTAGAAAAGTTTACTTGCCCAAGTTCCTTTGTGAAACATACGACCCAATATAGAAGGAATGCTCTGATTGCTATGATGCATATATAGCAAGGTTGCCAATGAGGTGGTGAAGACTATGGCAGCTGAAGTTTATTCCTTGGCCGAGGAGATCAAAAGGTTAGACTCTGAGCTCATTGTTTTGAAGGGGCCTAATATTTCTGCCCCCACTTCTCTACGGCTTGAGACTATTCGCCAAGAGATCGTTGATTTGAAGACTAGGCTTGACGCGATCCAAGTTAAGTATGAAAGTGCAAAGAAGGAGATTGGATGTTACATACCTCAGATTCAAGATCTTGAGTTTGCAGTTTCTGAGCTTCATCTCGCTGCTTATGCAAAGGATGAAGAGTTGATTGTTGCTTATAATCAAGTGATCCACTCTAAGAGAATCGTCGATAGGCTTGAACCCCAAATGTTGGAACTTCAAGTTGTACTGAAGATCAACGAAAGTCTGAAGAAGGAAATGGATGAGTTGTAGCACGTTCATGTTGGTCTGCTTGAGGAGAATGAGTAGTTGAAAGGTGAAAAGGATAGGCTCGAGGTTTCGAGACCTTCTCTATTTCTCCGGAAGACTTGATTGCTTTTACTTTTGAGGCTTCCATTGGTGAGGTAGTTGAAGAAGTTGGTGCCCAGGCTAGGGCAGCCGGGGGTGAAGCGCTGGATGATGCCGCTACTAAGAGCGTCGTTGCTGCTGAAGGTGTGGTGACTGAGTAGTCGTGGGATGTCCAAGTTGCTGAAGTGTAGTCTTTTAGCTAACCTTTAGGATTTTCTTTGTTTTTCCTTGTAGCTATTGTTTTTCTTGAACTCCTTTAGCCTTTGCAAGTTGTTTATAAACATGTTTCCTTCGCTTTTCTTCATCTTCGCTTCTTTTGTTCATGCCCCAACCTTTAGACTTTATAGACCAGTGGCAGGCGTGCTACTTTTCTATAAACAGACAGGCTCGTGTAGCCTATACAGCCATAAGTGTTGGTGTAGAACTTTTGCAAAGTTGTTAGCCATAGGGTTGGCAGCCTGATGCCTTACTTACAGGAGCAGACAAGTGTGCGTAACCACTAGGCCGTTAACCTTGGCTTTCTCCAATTCTGTAGGTTGCGTATCAAATATCACAACACTTTAGGACTTGGTGTAAGTTGTTCTGCGCTTGGCAGAGGTGAAGCTTATCGACTACTTAGCATGTCGGCAATGGATAAAGCTTCGTATATATATACGCTAGCCTGTTTAACCTTTCATAAGAATGTGCAGTTATATAAGTCTAACATGGTTTTACTGCTTGAAGGGCAAGCTGTAGGCAGTCTTCTGGAAACCGTAGGTTACCTTAGTGCACTTGGTAACAACTTTAGGGTTCCAGGGCAGCCGTCCATCAGATGTACTACATAATGTGCCCCCTCTATCTCTAGGGCCCGATTCCCCATGGATTAGGCCAAGAAACCCAAAATCCTTCAATTAGCTAAGTTTTGAAAAAGATCATTGTGACTACTTCTAAGAATCTCGGCGCAAGCCATCATGCATTTAGTTATACTAGAGTAGCTGGGCTCATCCACGTCTAGATATTTGGAGTGTAGAGTTTATCCTCCCGTCTTGGAGAGCTGGCCCATGTGGGTGTTAGAGAATTGGTTTACCCTATCACACTGGAGAGCATGGTTGGTCCTTCAGGGGGCGCAATTCCTACGATAAGTTCTTAAAAAGGGCGCGGTCTTCTTTTGAAGTGTAGGAATGATCAGTTGTTGTAAACATGCAGCCGAGCCAAGTTGTGATTACTAAACGAGTGAAACGAACAAGAACTTAGTTGTAAGGTAGGAACTACATAACAAGTGGATAGTCATCAGCTTGTCTTCTAGGAATCCCGTGTAAGCCATCGTGGATCTAGTTATACTAGGGCAACCAAGCTCATCCATGTTTGGATATTTGGAGTGTAGAGTTTATCCTCTCGTCTAGGAGAGCTGACCCATATGAATGTTGGGGAATTGGTTTACCCTTTCACACTAGAGAGCATGGTTAATCCTTTAGGGGGGAAGGGGCGCAATTCCTGCAATAAGTTCCTAAAAAGGGCGCGGTCTTCTTTTGAAGTGCAGGAGTGATCAGTTGTTGTAAGCATGCAGCCGAGCCAAGTTGTGATTACTTCTGAATTCCTCATTGAAAAATGAGTGAAACGAACGAGAACTTAGTTGTAAGGTAGGAACTGCATAACAATTGGATAGTCCTCAGTTTGTACGATGGTGTCCGTCGAGCTGCTTGAGTCTTTAGGCTTTGATGTAGTGGGAAGTCACACATGGAACTTCCTCAGATTGTAGGTGCTCCACTGCTTTTTGATTTTTTGTCGTTTCATGGTGGAGATGGCCCCAGCCGCGCAAGCTACCCTTGGCTCTAGCCAAGCCGAGCAACCCAAGCAATGGTCCTTACCACAACACCTCATCGGCCCATGCCGAGCTGGCTTTTGGCCCCTACCAGCCGACGTGTCGCACCACCCCGACGGCTGCCCCGCAACAGCACTATCCAAGAAGAAGACAAGGAAAATTAATTTTTTTCTTACCTCAGTTCAGCGCGGAGAAGACGAAGAGAGCAACGAAAGACGATCCTTTGCACGGGCAAGATGTAGAAGATTGCCAGAGGAGGGAGAACAAATATCCTCTAAACTTTCTCTCTTGTAGGGTAAACTAAATCACTCTCCAAAGTTGATTTAATAACCCACTTAAGGTGGACTTAAATAGGTTTTGAGAGAAATTTATTTCCTTTTCCTAGAAGGATTTAATTTCCTATTAAAGAGAGAATCAACATCAAAATAGGAAACAGTCCTATGTTTCCTAAAGCAAGAAGATTTCTACACCTGTTGCCCTTTGCTACGAGCAGCCCAACAGGTGTGAAGGCATTTGTGGAGCCAAAAATAATCAAGAGGCGACACGTGAATTTTTGGGCAAAAATGACAAAATTACCTTTGAGGGGCATTGGAATTCCTACGCGCGAACAGGGGACAAACATCCCACAATCAAGTCAAAAATGCCCAAAATAGGTAACAAATTCAAAGTTATTTCATCCATCCTCATCCTATATTTTACACAAGGTAATTATTTCACAACCTACAAAACATTCCATATAAATTGAGTTAATTGGCTAATTAATGGATTTATTCATAATTAATCCATTAATTACCAATTAAATCACCCATTTCACACAAAAATACCCCAAAGGGCCGGCCACCTTTTCTCAAGAGGGGGACCCGCCATGCACTATATATTCAACCTCATTTCGTCTAAAAACCTAAGTCTTGACTTGCTAAACACTCAAAAATTCCCCAAACACTTTTCTCTCAAAATTCTAACTTTGGCATCGGAGGTTCTTCGGCCAAAGCCCCCTATTCATCGTGGGCACGTGAGGCTCTTAGCCTTGACCAAAGGTGTTATTTGTTTTGTAGGTGCAATTTTGTCCAAGATCAAGGAAGAAGAAATTTGCATCCATAATCTAGATACCAAAATGGTGACGGAAGTAGGATGTTCGACGACGCATAGTCCTTGTTTGATAGGGAGGACTAATTTAGATAAGACTATTGAAGGCATTTTGAAGGACAAATAAATGAGAACTTTCATATTTTGTCCAAATTAAAGATTACTAATGAAGAAAAGATATTCTTACTAGTCCAGTCAATATGATAACATTAAAAAACACCTTTTGTTCATTAGGAATTACAACCCATTTTTTCCTTCAAAATGTCTTCAATGTGGTGAAAGTCCTATGCAAGTTAATCTTCACTATCAAAGATCATAGTGTTAAAGACTCTTTCCATTTGGGCAAGCGATTCCTACGAAGCATGCGTTGCTATTGTGGCACTTGGTAAATGGTTGAGGAGTATATACATCGTGTAGGGATGATGGATTGTTTGCATATGACTAGGCGCGCAAGTGGGAGCAGTGACTCAATAAGCCTAAAACGAACCCCTTCTTTCATTTTCTTCTTTTTATTTTTTTAGAAAGAGTACTGGTATCTCTAACCGAATGGTTATAGTCAATACTACCATGTAGATTAAATACCCCGTTTACCAAATAAGACGTTGAGGGTTTCATTTAACCGTGACCTTATATATATGCTACCGCATTAGTCCGGCTTGCGATTCTATTTTTGCATAATTGAGGAAGAGCAAACCGAACTTACCTACGTTTTTAGGTACAAACCCCTTGCAATCTTTTAATTAGTATTTAAATAAAGGACAATGCAGGGGACAACATAAACCTTATATGGTTATAATTGAAAGATGAAAATCAAATTACAATATCTACATTAGTCTCCACTATTACATTCTTATTATATGTTTTAAATGGTGCCTATTATATGTTGTAAACCATTTAAGATTGATTTATATTGAAATAAATCAAAACAGACAAATGTGCGGAGCTGAGTTTTAAAAAGAGTAACACACAAAACCGACTATATTACTGACATTATAATACAAAGGAGTGGTTTTTGCTCGAGATCAAGGATGCTACATACAACATACTCATAAGTAACGCCACTTAATATATTTATGCAGTACTGTAAATTAATAAAGCTAATTATGATCAAAATAAATGCGGAATTGGAAAATTGTTTACACATATATATGCACAATGAGTAAACTGATCAGAGTTAGAATGACTCCCCACGTAAAGCTCTGAGCACCCTGGACTGAGGAGCATCAGGGTCCCCACGGATGGCATTCTCTTTCCATATCCTTGCAGCTCTACGGAGTGCCTCCTCAGCCGTGTCCAACTGCTCGGGCCTCCATCCAACGACATCTCTACCTGCACCAGACTCCGACACAGAGTCTGGCGTGCCGTCTGTTGCACGCGTAATGGGCTTTCGGGTGTCTGCATACTCAACCTCTGACAGTGATGAGGCCTTGTGATGCTTGTAGTACTCTCTATCATCCTCTTCACGCTCCTCCTTCCGGTCTCTATCTCCATCTCTCATCGACTTCTCCTTTTCCTGCATGTCCCTTTCATTTGATGAGTCAATTGACAATGGTGTGCCGTCCAGCCCCACACAGCTCACCTTTTCCAAAAAACTAGTAGCCGCTCTTCCGTGGCTACTTATATGTCTCTTCTGAGTATAATTGGTTGGGTGGTCCGAGGGCTGCAGGTTCATTCCTGTGTTCTCTAGCCTTGGGGAACTCGCGTTTGGATACGAGGGTTTATTAGGAGGTGCAAAAGCTCCTGTTCCTTTCCTCTGCCGCTGGCGCCGCGCTGCTCATCAGCAGCTGGTTTCTCCTGTGCAACATCTTCTGTACCCTAAACATATATATGTGTATATGTTGGGATTTTAGAAATAAATTAATGCACTGCTTGAGAGCAAAATTAATTATATATAATTGGAGTTTAGAAATAGACATGCCTCTGAATTATATGAATTAATTTACTTGATAAAGCTACAAATTAATTAATGTCCATATATAGAAAAGTTAACAAATCTTACTTGAGGGTCTGCGGTGGTGAGACCAGGGTCAGATTCATAGTCCCCACCAGCGTGAACGGCTGGGTCAGCAGTGCCGGTGCGACTAGCGGTGGCAGAATCAAGTCCTCGTGGTAGAACTACTCGAGCTGCGGCTAATTGATGAGTACCATGGCCCCAAATCGACCTGCTTTTTGCTACAGAAGCTGCACCCAACGATAGTCTTGAATAATAATATTGAATTTTGAACATCGATCGCTATTCAGTATTCACTAGCTAAAGCCTCGCAAGTATCAATTGTTATTCAAGTTGTAAGCTTTTCTTGAAACTGAATTGATGGGGTTGGAGTGACTAAGTTGGATCCGGAAAGTCCTGGTAGCTGCTGCAATTCATTCATATGGAATGGAAGCAGCTAGAATAGAATAGAATAGAAATCCATCGGTTGCGTCAAGTGGGGTTGGGAGTGTAATGTACATGTACTGACGTGGCAACAGTTTAGAATGCTTGGTGTACTTTGCGTGTCACCTTCTAGGCAAGAGGAATCCAGAAGCATTGGTTGGACTTGCATTTTTTATTTGGGTTTTTATCATACATGTTACCTGAAATTGACTTTCATTATTAAAATGATTTTTGAAATTAAAAATAAATCAATGTAATTTTTGAAAATAGGTGTCGCAAATCAATATGATCATTCCATCACAATTCTGTTAAAAAATCCATTAAGGGCTGATGTGACACATAAATGGGCTCCATAAGATTTATGAGTTTTTATCACAAATAGTTCATGAAATTGACCCACGCCATCAAGATGGTCCTTGAAACTGACTCACACCATCAAGATAGTCCCTAAAACTGACTCACACCATCAATATGGTCTCTAAAATTAAAAATCAATCAATATAGTTCTTGAAAATAGATGTCACAAATCAATATGATCATTCCGCCGCTATTCTATAAAAAAATTTGTTATGTCCTGATGTGGATTTAATAATTAATTAAAAAAGTTGTCTAAATACCTTTTTGCACAATGGATATTTTTCTTATAATAGGCACAAAGGCACAAGGCTTAACCAAGGCCTAAGGGGGGTGTGGAATATTTTTCAACCAACAATAGACGCATCTCAGTTATAACCTCATTATCTCAAAGAAGACCTTGGGAAGCTCCGAATAAGCTCTCCAAGATTAAAGTTGTGAGGATGTTAATCGCTTAAATATTAATAGAGATGTCCCAGAAGTTGTTGCCAATGGGGCAAGCAGTCACCAAAGGTGATCTTAATTCAAGTTCAATTCTGTGAAGGGTGTCGAAGTGTGTAAAGATGAGTGTATTGATTTTTTTTTTTTTTAGAGAATAGAGAGCGAATGAGGTAGAGAAATATAGACTAGGATCGGAGGTGATTGCAGGGCTGGGGTTTTTGGGATGACAATTTTTTTTTATTAACTAATAAATTATTAAACCTATTTGTAAATTTTTTTTAATTTAATTAAACTTGTGTGACCCATTTATGTGTCGCATTAGCACATTACAGAATTTTTGATAGAATTGTGATGAAAGGACTACATTGATTTGAGACACTTACTTGTGTGACTACATTGGTCAATTTTCAATTTCAAGGACCATTTTGATGTCGCAAGTCAATTACAGGGACCATTTGTGAGAAAAAAAAGACTTATGAAGCCCATTTATGTGCCACATTAGCACTTAACAGAATTTTTAACAGAATTGTAACAGAATGACCACATTAATTTACGACACCTATTTCAGAGACTACATTGATTGATTTTCAATTTCAAAGAATATCTTGATGGTGAAGGTCAATTTCAGAGATCATTTGCAATAAAAACCTTTTTTTTTATTTTTTTACAAAGGAATGAAATTACAAAGAAAACTTCTATGGATCTCTAATCGGTACATATCAAAATTAATCGTAGGCATAACTTGGAAAAATTACAAAATCAAACACATACATCTCATAGTTATGGCCTAAATTAGTTGAGTCATCTGCTGCCATATTGGTTTTTATGTAAATATGATGAACATATAATAGATTTTGTCTTGTAAGATGTCACATGTCTTGTATAAGATACTAAATTTGCTGTGAAATTTGTAATTGTTTTTGCATGATTTACATTAAGATTTTTGAGTCTCCTTCCACAACATCATGTTTCAGTTGAAGTCGAACTGCCTAAAACTAAATGAGAGCTTATTTTAACACCAATGCTTCTACCTGTAAAACATTTGAAAATTCAATGAAAAATGATGTTTTTTAAATTATTAATTATCGTGTTTAAACTATCTAATTATCTTAATCATTCGCCATCAATAGAATATTTAGAAATGTAATTTCATGCAACTTTGGTGCAAAAGGTTTCCTGAATTTGGTGCTGGCTTCTTGTGATTAATAATTGTAATTTCACTTAAGATGAACACCATGTTTTAAGGGTTGCAAGGTTTTTCAAAAGGTTTTCAAAAAACTAAATGAGTATTTCATGTTCATATATGAGCTGAACGGCCAAACGGGTTGTATATTAGATACACGTTCTGTTAAAGGTTCCAAGTTGGATATATATTAGGAAAACTTAACCGTCAAAATATGAATGGGTAATTCATAAGTAACTGAAAGAACTACGTAGAGTGTTAAGGTGACGGCGGAACCCTAGTGTCTCTTCAAATTGATTTTCTTTAAAATGTTTTCTAGTTGATTTATTTAATTGTTTTCAAATAATTATTAAGATTTGCATTTTACATAAATAATTCATTCAATCCTTGTGAAAAATGACCTTGCTTGAGCTGCTATACTACGATAACTTGTATTCTTACAAGTATTTTTAAGTGTTTTTATTCCTATTTGTGCAGGTGGTAAAAATCCTATCACTCGTTCTGATACCAATGTTAAAAAATTGAAAATGAGAAAGGAAGAAAAACTGATTACAAATTATGATAACTTATTTCAAGACAACTACATAATAAAAGGACTACATCTCTACAAGATTTAATCTTTCCTACTGAGTTGCAATTATATATAAAGCCTGAACATGAAACAAACAGGATAATAATCTTGAATTCTAGAAAAAATGAAATGAATCCTAATCCTTACCTTACTGAAAAAAAAAAAAAAAAAAAAAAAAAAAAACCAAATTGCTCTAGGCCTGGGTGACTTTCCAACAGCCCCCACCACTAAACCTGATTGATTCTATACATCTTTGCTGTGTCGACCGAGTTTGAGGCAAATCTGAGCAAGGAGACCAAATATAGAAGCTAGAAAGCACATGATGGAGGACAATATAAGCACTGCCAAGTCCCCAAGGGTTTTTTTGGGAGAGTGGGTCCTGTCTGATAGGAGCAACGCCATATATACTGCTTCACTCAGGGCGTAGGCTGAAACCGGGTCTGATTCTTCTGCCAGAAATCCATACTCGCTAAGGCACGTCACGATGTCGTATACTCCACTCGTCTCCGATACACCGAGGCACTCACATATTTTCAGCCGCCCTTCAATCCTCTCCTCCGTTGTTAACATGTCACCATGTGTCAAGATCAAAATGGTGCTCTCATCATCTGTATGCATATATACATATATAATATATATGCAGCAACTCATTAAATTTCAAGGAAACAAGATTTACATACATATAAGACGATAGAAAACTAACTTACTGTAAATATTGGTGAAAGCATTATTGACAGAGCAGAAAAGCTGTTTTGTGGCGTCCATTGGCTTAGAATCACCAGCTTGAAAGGCCTTGTAGATTTCTGCCATGTTAGCCACCACCATTGCACAATTGACTTTCCTCCTCGCAAACTTTGAAATCACATCCATATCAGGAAGATTCATCAACACAGATTCTTCGACGTCATCGCCTGGTCTCAAGCACACTTGGTTATGGTGAATCCCATCACTCATCCAACTTGACAATTCTTCAAGGCCCTCGCCTATTCGGTTGTAGTCAAATCCCCTCGAGTCATACACACAGAAGCCACTTCGCAAAGACCTCAGCACATTGTGCTCTTTCAGAATCATACTAGTACTCTTCGGATTATTTGAAAAACTTCCTACAATTTTAATTAATATTATAAAAATTAATGATTCATTATTATGTGTCTGCAATGTGCATATATAAGAAGTGATGGAGTTAAATAAAAAGGTAGCATACCAGGTGGTGGTGATGTTTGAGCAAAGGGTACGAGTCCAGAGCGACCCAAAACGGAGTACATGAGGTTGACAAGAGAGCTTTTACCAGAAGCAGAGAAGCCAACCAAGAGAATTGTGGCCACCGGCGGAATGTCCATGTTTTCCTTAGCGAGACCTCCTGTTGGCATCCAGAAGTCACCCGAGCGATACATGAGCAGCTTGTGCCGAAGTTCATTCACCCCTTCCTGATGGGTTGATACCAAAGCAGTCTCTCCAACTCTCTCACCACTCGCATCCTTGCTGCCGCTGTAAAATGACTAGATGCCCTGCCACCGCCAGGGAATATGAGGCGCTCATGATCAAGCTTCATCTGCATCTTCTTTACATGATCAAACTCTGCAGCCCATCTCCACCAATAATAGTTGTTATTATCACTATCATTATCATTAGGAGCTATTGATCTTGAAGAATTAGAATAGTCATCAGGATGATCTGTTGTTGATTCATCACTGGAAAATAGTAGCTGGTCCTTCATCGTATATCTATCTATCGATCGATCGATCTTCCTTAATTAATTTCCTCTCTAGATAAGTAGCTAGGAATTGGAGGCCTCAAACTAATCAAAGATGAAGGGAGAGCGTGAACAGTAGGACATTGTATGTTTCGTGTGTTTGCATGGTCCACGTTTAACGAAAGGCTAGACAATCTCCAAAATGGAGAAAAGTGACCCGCCACGAATGAAGGAGGTCCACATGGCTCACGGGAACAACGTCCGTTACCTTATGGCTGCTTCCTAGCACTTTCCTCCGCTTGATGGTGATGATAAGCACATGCACCAGTACAACACTAGAGACATAACGTTCGAAGCAGATATTCCAGATCAAGGACGGATTATCAGTTTTTGACATTTTTATCCACTTATTTTTAGAGGAAGTTGATGTTTGATTATTAACTTCTTATAAGTACATACAAATTCTCTTAATTCTCTGATACTCTCAAAAATTACCATCCCCCTCTGAATTTCATAGCAGTGTTCACAACAACCGGTAGCCACGCACGACACATGCGATGAATGGTGAAGGGTAGTCTCGCCTTACGCCAACGTGCATGGTCACGTGTTGCATCTTATTTGTTTTATTTTGCGGTGCAAATACCGGGTGAGATTTTATTTTATCCAACTTTTTAGATGTTTTTGTTTGCACCCAAATTCATATCTGACCTTTGGGCTTAGATTAAAGTTGAACTGTTTGGGTTATTTCGGGCCTTTTGATTCCAAGTCCAGATTATAATAGTCCGGGTAAATTGATTTGTGGCCATTTATAGGATTTCGTCTAAGAGTGCGTTTAGTAATCCGTAATCAGATTGAGAGGAATTGAATTGAGAAGGAATTGGATTGAAGAGGAATTGGAATGAGGTGGAATCAGAATTAGATTCCTGTTGAAGTCGTTTACCAAAATTGTCTGAAATCGAGAATGAGAATAACATTGATGTATATAAACTGTTTACTAATTCACATGAATCGGAATGATAACTAATGTGATTACTAAAGTACCCCTACTTTAACTAATTTATTTTATATGCTAATTATTTTTAGTAAAACTTTTATTCTTTTTTTTTTTTAATTTTTTACTAGAGAGAATAATTTTTTATCTTTTATAAAACTTTTACATTTTCGTAATCGCATAGAGTACTTCAGATTTGATATGAAAGAATCATTTTTTGTTTGCTTCGAACTCTTAATCACCCTAAACCCTAATAGAAATACCTACATAAAGTAAACTAAAATAAATTTTTGCTTCCTTCTCTCTCTTCCCCCTTTCTTTCCCCATTCTTTGTCTGCAACCCCTTTCTTTTCCCAGTACGCAATATCCACACCCCACCATCCAATCTCAGGAGGAACCACGAAGCCACAACCCACCCCATCAACCAAAAAAAAAATAAATAAATAAATAATCCAATTTTCAAGGTGAAAGTGATAAAAGTTCTTTCCTTCTCTTCTATTTGGGTCTACAAATTGCAATTTCCTTGAGGATTTGGGCGTTCGTTGTTCTAGATCATGTTCGTCGTTGTGCCATTGTTTCCAACCCCGGTTGATCATTGTTCCAAATCGCAGGCGATCGTTGTTCAGTGCTACTGCATCGTTTCAGATTGCGAAGGTAGGGTGGTATGTGCTATAAGAGAAACAAATATAGAGGGGAGTGATTGATGAAGGTAGGAGTTGTTTTAGGAATATACATGGGTATTTTGGGTAGAAAACTTTGATTCGTGATGGAGCTCTCTGCCCGGAATTCAATTACCACCTCTATAGAGGGAATCCAAATCCGGGGAAATCCAAAATTGAACTCCTGAAATTGGCTGGACCCCTACATAAAATATGATTCCCCAGTTGCTAGTAAACGGCAGAATGCTTGGAGAGGAATTCAATTATGTTTCTCTCCATTCCACTCCCAATTGGTAAACACGCCATAAGAGTTTAGTTTGGAAATGTAGTCTTCGTGAAAGTGGTTCACCGAGAATCAAACCTTATTCTTGCTAAGAGTTTCAGTTTGGGAACAAAATTCAAGTCGTAGACAGAGTACGATCATCCGAGTAAAAGGCCTCACATCAATCTATCAATCAAATTTCTCTCGCGGGTTATGTGTTTTATCAAACATTTTTGCCTCGTTTGTGGCATTATTGATGTCTAACCAGAAGTCGCCGACGTCTACTAATAAGGTGAAGGAAGCTAAATGCTTGTACTCACCGGAATTTACAACTGAAGGTCAACGAAAAATCCCTACGAAAGAAATTCCACTGTAGTGCTTCGCTTAGGAGATTTTATCATAAAACTAATTGGCAATATAAGAAGCATTCCAATCTCTTATAAGCCCTTGCAAGGTTTCCTCTTTTACCAATGTGGGACTTTTTTACCTTCACATTCCCACAAGTTGGTCTTCTAGCTTCTTCATGTGTGGATTGCTCAACGACCTTGACATTCAAGTATCTCTATATGATTAATCTGAAATACTATTTGTCGAACCTTGATGTTTGAGAAAATTGTGATCGAGACTGAGCCTTGTGTCTAGGATCCAAACTATAGAAGCGATCAGCAGGCCTTGATTTCAAGGCTGGAAAATCCAGATCGAGAGACTCCTTTCTTGGCAGTAATTGTTTGAACAACAAGTTTTGGTTTCACACACTTAAGGTATTTCGAACGCGTATTGTGTTGCGAGTTATATATTTATATATTAGTTAAGGGTAAATAGTAGTTTGTTGTCCCACATTGATGAAGTACATATGTAATACCAATTGTAACTCCTATATATACTCCACTTTGGAGATTAATGAATATACAAGAATTATCAAATATTATTATATATAATTTTGGTATTTTAACCGAGCAGTTCGCTCTTGGTGACCTATGTGCTTAAATTTTGTGCCCACTTTTCTCAGTATCATGAAGGAAAACAAAAATGAATAGTGCCATGCTATAGTACTGAGAATAGTATCGTGAACAATGCAGTGCCGGAACGATGATTCTGCTACAGTGTTCTGGTAAATTGCCTTAATTCTGCTGTGTATCTTTTGTGCCTTTATTGTTCATGTTTTAGCTAAATGGCTTCATATACTCATTGTGTTGTTATGCATCTTGGTGGAACAAATATATGGATAATTGATGTTGGGTCACTGATCATGTGACTGGTGACCCTACAGTGTTTGATAAGTTATGTGACTATGTTCGTGATCCGTATATTACTAGTGCAAATGTAGTATCTTCCCCTATGAAGGGTGAAGGCCCTATCTCTCTCACTACTTCCTTATCACTGGTCCATGCTTTACCTGTTCCTGATGTTAAGTGCAATCTTTTATCGATAGGAAAACTACTTGATACGTTATATCTGATTACTTCTACCCCACGTATTGTTATTTTCAAGACATTCAAACTTAGAAGATAATTGGTTGTGGTAAAAGAATTAGGGATTTGTACATCTTGACTATGGAGGATACTGTTGCTTTAGGTTCAAAGAATCATCAAGTTCTAAGTGCTTAAGTGGATGACAAACATCAAATTTGGTTGTGGCATCGACGTTTGGGACATCCATCATTCAGTTGTATGAAACATTTATTTCCTTCTTTGTTTCGCACTCGTAGTGATTCAGTGTTCAAGTGTGAAACACATGTCATTACTAAGAGTCATCGTGCTTCCTTTCCCGTAAGTGATTCTAAAGCTACTTTGCCATTTGATTGGATACATTCTGATGTGTGGGGTCTAGCAAAGGTTACTTCTAATAGATTTTCTTAGTTTGTTACTTTTATTGATGACTGTACTTGATTAACTTGGTGTTCTTGATGAAGAATAAGAGTGATGCCTCTTTATTTCTTCAAAATTTTTATGCAATGGTATCTACTCAGTTTCAGACCAACGTTAAGGTCTTCAAGTCTGATAATGAAGGAGAATATGTAAATCACACTTTGGCGTGCTTTTTTTCATGATCATGGTATTATTCACTGAGATGACTACTCCGTTTACACCCCAATAAAATGGTTTGTCTGAACGAAAGAATCGTCAAATAATGGAGGTTCCTCGCTCCTTGATGTTGGATAAATATGTTTCTAATCATTTGTGGGGTCATACTGTTTTGGCTGCTGTGTACTTGATAAATCGTGTCCCAAGTAGGGTTCTTGATATTCAGACATCGTTTGATGTGGTACAAAAACATATTTCTTCTATTTCTGTATTCAAACTTCCTTCGAAAGTGTTTGGATGTGTAGCGTATGTGCATGTCTACTCTTCATCAGCGAAGTAAACTTGATGCATGTGCTCTCCTATGTGTATTATTTTCATATGCTAACAATCAAAAAGGCTATAAGTGTTATCATCCTCCGACTTAGAAAACTTATATCACCATGGATGTCACATTCCATGAGGAATTCTGTATTTTGTGCAGCCCTCTTCCAACTCCCTACTTTAAGGGAAGAAGGGGAGTGAAGTGCAAATTCGAATAAATGGTAATGGATGATGTGTTACATGCAGAGTTGGAGACGAAACCTGTTATGCTGCATGATACTAACCAGTCAGCTATAGATGGCGATCGATCAACTGTCATTCCTGAGACTGCCCGTCGAATGTGCCCAACGAGTTGCATGTTGTTGGTATGTCTGACAAATTTCCTTTTGATGACTAATTGCATGCTGCTGGTATGACTAATGAGTTGCCTGTTGATAGTTTGTCTAGTGATGATTCTTCTAATGGTTTGGTACAAGATGGTGACACACATGAGGTAAATTATGACAATTATTCTACATATCAGTTGCCTCCACGAGTTAATCGTGGAAAACCTAAAGTACAATATGAGCCTGATATGCATGCCAAAGCCAAGTATCCTATCAACATCTATGCGTATAGTCATCGTTTGTCCAAACCATATGCATCTTACATATGTTAACTATTTAGTGTACTAGTTCCAGCAAAATTGTATGATGCTTTGTCTGACCCTAAGTGGGTTAATGTCATGAATGTTAAGATGGAAGCTTTGGAAAATAATTCCACTTGAGATTTGGTTCTGTTGCCAAATAGAAGCTGTTGGATGTAGATGGGTGTCAACTATTAAGCATAACGCATGGTTCTATTGACTAGTACAAAGCCAGATTAGTTGCTAAGGGTTATACTCAAACATATGGTGTGGACTATTAAGAGACTTTTGCTCATGTTGCCAAACTGAACACTGTGCGTGTTCTTCTGTCCGTAGCAGCAAACCAGGA